TCCTCTCTCCGCAGGACCTCTACGTTTATATCTCGGAGCACGAGCACTTTACAGACTTCAACGTCAGCTCGGCGCTGTTCTGGCAGAAGCGGGATCTTGTCTACGGGGACTGGACCAGCGGGGAGAACGCCGACGGGTGCTATGAACACTATGGGGAAGTCGACATTTCGCAGGTAGGTGCGCCCACTACTCTTTCTGGGAGGTTTGAGGCCAGGTGGGGGATCGTCGAGGAGCTGGCAGGGATTGCCGGGATCATGCTCAAAGCCATCCTGCGGCTGAGCAGAGCTGAGGCGCAGAGCAGCGTTGGCTGCCGCAGCGCATCCCTGCTGTCACCTTTATCCGTGTCCCCTTCGCTTCGGACGGTGGGTGAGACCCTGTGGAGCGGGCTGGTGTCTCTTCCGGGCGTGCTGCGAAGGTGACAGGGCTCGAAGCCGTCGTTTTGGTGACCAGCCATTAAAGGCTTCAGGTTTGCCCCAAGCCGTACAGTAGCTGAGGTCTGCCCTGTTGCAGGGTGCGAGCAGTAGGCGTGCTGCCCTCCGGCTGCCATGAGGGAGCGGCTGCTTTTTCCCCGCTTTGGTTTCATACGGGGTCGATGGCTGCGGGAGGATGGTTGGCGTCGGCGCCAGGCGCTGTATGAACCTGGGCGCCGAGGCGGTGACAGCGGCTGGGAGATGACAGCCGTGCTCCGACCGCGTCCAGCTTGTAACCGCCCTGTCGGGGTGTGATTTCAGAGCGTCCAGCAGAATGGCTCCATCTACATTCACGTGTACTTCACGAAGAGCGGCTTCCATCCCGACCCCAGGCAGAAGAACCTGTACAGGCGCCTTGCCACAGTCCACACGTCACGAAGTACGGGCCGGGGCAGGAGGGCAGCGCGCGGCGGCCCTGGGGTGGTGCTGGGGAAAGGGGCACCCCAGTTCCCATGTCAAAATGGGAGCCCGAAGGAGTCAGGCTGAGCTTTGGCTTTGGCTCAGCGGAGGCAGGTGCCTGAAGGGGAAGATTAGGGCAAATCTCTGACTCCCCGTGGCCACCAGCTTGGCTGCTGCCCGAGCTGGATGTTTTCCGCACTTGGAATTTGTCTTCTGTGAACCTACGGAGGAAAAACCTCTTTAAATCTCTGCGAGCTCTTGGTTTCCGCCCACATTATGCGGGAGGGGGGTCCCTAGTTGTATGGGGGGTGCGGAACCGTGTCAGCGTTGAGAAGAGGAAGGAATTGCCATGTTCAGGTCTTCCTGCGGGACAGGAAGATCCGGATGCTTCATCTCAGGTGTTTTCCTCCAACAGTGATGTGATTATCCCAAAGGTTTGGCTGTTAATCTGGTTCGTTGTCCCTAAGCTACAGCCTTTCCTTTTGATAACTGGAAGATCTGTGAGACAGTCCGGATTAATTAGTTTTGGGGGGTGACGTGAGGGAAACGGGCTTCTCCAGGGCTTGCGCCTGTCGTAAAATGCCCTGCTCCCCTCCTGGCAGGCCGTAACCTCCTTAGATTTCCTTCCCTACTTTCTTGTGCAGGGCTGGAAACACTCACCTCTCCTTTTTCCTTCCAGTGATCAACAAATACAAGCGCCGGCGGTTCCAGAAAACCAAGAACCTCCTGACAGGTGA